GGGGGGGGGGTCTTCCCCCTAAAGATTTTTAGGAGATGGGGTCTACCTAAAGAAGGAAAATTTCTGAAAATCAAGAAAAATGATGGTTCCGTGGCCCCAGATCCCATTCACACCCCCCCTCCCCGCTGGCTACAGTACTGCCCGAAGAGGGGGGGGTGCCTCCCCCCTAAAGATTTTTTGGAGATGGGGTCTACCAAAAGAAGAAAAATTTCTGAAAATGAAGAAAAATTATGGTTCCGTGGCTCCAGATCCCCTGTACACCCTCCTTCCCCGGGGGCTACAGTACTTCCTGGGGGGCCGTTCCCCCTTCAATAAAATCGTGATTATATGAAGTCAGTCAATACTAAAAGACCCTCAAGAAGGATAAACGAACCTTTGCTCTTCTCGTATAAAATTGTCCCAGCTACGTCTAGAATATNGGGGGGGGGGGGGGGGGGACCAGCTCTCGATAAGGATTAGAACCATGCGAGGCTACTGTTGTTCCTCAGTCTAGTTTCGATCCGCTTAAATTTCTAATTGATCCGGTCCGAGCAACGCATGCGCAATCGGTGGCCTGATCTCGGTAAGAGAGATGCTCCCACCGTTCGAACCCGTGCTCCAAAAGCATCCTACCTGTGACAGCTCCAGCCCCAACGCCGTCGCTCCCGTCAAGAACCACCCAACTCCGATAGGAACCCCTGCGCAGATACGTCTTTGTTGCTCCGCGGGCGGAGGCGCGGCGTGGGCAGTCCCGAGTGTTGTCTCCAAATTGCCCGCCGCCGCCGCAAGTTTTCAATTGGGTGAAAGTTGATCCCGAGGCGTGACCAACATTCAAATAACAGTTTGCCTTTGGAAATGACTAATACATGCCCGCCGGAATTCAATGTTCCGTCGATTCGGTGTAGGCTGGTCGATGATGGTGCTGAGCGATTTTTATCGTAAAGAAACGTATGATCTCGCTAAGCCGGCAGGGAATAGCACGATCGACGCACTTTGGAAGTAAGAGAAAAGGCTGGATGAAACTATTTTGTTATAATTTGAAGTTTTTTTTTCTACTTCAAATACCTTCGAGGGGAGGGGCAATCCCACGCTTGGAGTTCCTAAAGTTTCATCCCCCTCAGTCCTTAATGTAGCTAGCCCCAGGTATCCGATGTTTGAAACAGTTATACTCGGGTCATCTGGTCGGGAATGGTGGATGGGGATCATAGAGCAAACTCTACAACCGCTACACCTCAGGACGCAGACAAGTCGTGTACTGTGGACTTAGATTTGGCGCGTTTACAAAAAAAAGACCGTTGACTTAGAATTACGTAAACATTTTCTGAGTGAAAATTTCGATGCATCACTGAGGCCGTAAACGAGTTGATACTAGAGGGCAAAGTTTTCCGGGAAAATTAAGTATCGAGATAAAGTTCTCGGTGACTTTCAAAATTGCGAGTAATTATCGTGTATGCTTGTATGAGAGTGTGTTCTCTTACAGTTTTCCGGGAAAGTTCGCGTTTTCGGAAACGGAACTTTTCTTCCTTGGATTCACCGAGCGTCCACTGAATCCATCTTAAACATTCGAATTCTCATACATCGTTTTTTCTGAGCCTGCAGCTTTAAGGCGGAAGTCTTTCAGTCAACCGTGATGTTCCACATTGCAGCATTAAGTAGATAATCATGTCTTAATTGAAGAAAAAACTGACCTTTATAAAGTTCGTATGAAAACTTTAAAATGTTTAATATCGAGGCGATAAAAGTATATCTTCGAACAGGTTCCTCGAATTGCTTGCGTATTGCCTCCCCAAAAATTCCATCAATCTTTGACAATTAAGCGTATATCCTCTTATTTCCTTTTTCAACGCGGATATCTTATGGGTTTGATTGCGTGGGAAGTAAATTAGAGAGCACCGCGAGGAAATAAGTAAAATTGGTCAAAAAGCGCGGATCACTCTATTCTTTTGATGAGGCCATGAGGCGAGCTTTCATGGGGAATATGTCAAACACCTAGCCACCGCTTTGCCAGTGCGAAACTGTTCCGATCGTTAAACAGTTTTTATTGGCGCAATTAAAGGCGAAACGTTTCGCCGTTTGTACCTATTTCGCGCCGTAAATCATGACGAGCCTCAGTGGCGCGGCGTGCTTTGCGATACATCGATCGATCTTCCATTTAAACCTACGGATAAGGATCGATAAGCAGGGTACACCTTAATAATCGATTCTTCACCATAGCTTCAAATGGGGAGATATCGAAAATCGATATTTCGCGCCTCACCACTGACGAACTTGCTTCTCCGGAGTCCTGCTCTGCCGCGCTAAGGAAAAACGCCGTATGAGCCTTCAGGCGTTGCCATATTTCCTTTCATAACCAAAGAATTTACTGGGAAGATTCTAAATATTTTTCTTTCAATTTTTCAGACAATTTTGTTCCAAACTTAATCTAAAATATTAGAAAATTTCAAGGGAAAACGTGCATTACTTCCCTCAAAAATACATGTTTTATCTGGGGAAACTTGGCAACTCTCGAATGTTCATACGGCGTTCTTCCTTAGCACGGCAGTGCTGATGGCGCGAACGGGCAAGTGTAAAAAATAAATAAATGCAAGCTCCTCCAATAAAACAAAACCACTTGCAGGGATGGTCATTAACCCACTTAATTGCACGCGCAAGATTACTTCTTTTACAGGAAAAGTAAGGCTCGAAGGCCGATCTATAAGTACACCGGCGTGTTCCCCATCGAGATAACTCGCTACCCGGCAGCTTTTTTGGTTGGATTTAATGGCTTCATCCCGCTCGCATAAAACTGAACTGATTTTCAATAAATTCTCCGATAGTTTGCATATTTAAAGCTGCCTACTTACGTTCCGGTTTTGTAATCCGCCATTCTCGGTAAAATTAGAGCAATCGTAAAATAATTTCTGAAAAGAATTGAAAAAGTTCTACTTGCACTCCCTTATCATTCTATGTTGAATTTTCAGTTCATCAGTTTTTAATTTTATTAACACTAATTTAATTGATAAATTTAAAGTTTTTATAAATCATATATACATCTACTTATCTAATTTAACCTCGTACTTTCGGTGCCTAATTATTTCTAGTATCATGATCATAATTAAGTATATAATAGATTGTTACTATTATCATGATAGGTATACATTTTTTTATCTTTGAGATGTCATGATTTTGAGATATGTAGGTAATAGCTTTTATCTTTATACCCCAAAAATTTACCACCAAAATTAGTTAGCTGTGACGAAATTTTTCAAAGCTCAATAAATATTAAAATTGATTAGATTCTATCTGACGTTTGAATGAAATTATTCTCACTTTTTTTTTTCATTCACCATGTAACTTATTTGTGATAAGCTATGGTGATTGTAGCTACCAAACGCACCAATATAGATTAGAACCATATTGAAAGTGACAGGACCCAGATTGCCGAGGAAGGCAATGGATTGGGATCCTCCTTGAAAAAGGCACAGAGAGCGCCAATTGAGAGGGATGGAGCAGAGTAGGGATACAAGCAGAAATGTCAAGTTGCTCGATTCCCGAAAGGATGTGTTTCGGGGAGGAGGCAGTGGCGGCACGTGTTATGGGGCACTAAGGGGTGCTATAAAATGACACCTAGGTACATGTATCTAATTTTTCAAAATACATGCATTAATGAGTCGAGAAGCACCCAAGAAAGCGTGGAGACTTAAACGCAGCGATAGAAAAGTAAACGAAGTAAAATAAGTATTTTCAAGTGCAAGAAAAAGCCCGTCATTGACGGGACGTCAAAAGTCACACAAATACAGGCACGTGGCACGTTACCTGGCATTAGTTTAACATCCTTTTTTTTTCATTTTTTATTTTTGAATCGCTCGTTTTTATTTCATTCTATGCTAAAAGTCGAACGTTGATAAGGTTTTTCTAAAAAATCCCATCCGCTTGAGCTGCAACTAATGCTCGGCAAAAAACCCCTCAAATTCGTCTTATTCTTACAGTTTTTTACATAGCACTTTATAGAAGCGTCCAGGGTCTGTAGTAATTTTGACTTCTGCGTTTTGTCTTAATCGTACTTTGCCTTTGCGAGATTTTACCGCACTTTGCATAGCGCGCCCAACGAAGCCTTTCCGCGAAAAACTCGGCGAATTTAAACCCGCGCTTGGCACCATCGTTTCTCGCTTTCACTGAAGGACGCAACGACCCGCGGCCGGCGCGCCGCACCAGGTCGTTACCCACAATCCTCGCACCTCCCCGCCCCCCGCCCGGGGGCCCCCACCAGCCTCCCATCGCGCCCCGAAAAACATCCCCCAACTCGGGGCACGCATCCCTTTTGCTTTTCGCCAAGGACCAAGGAAGAGAGTGAAACATATTGGTGTCAGCTCTTCAGCTCGGCATGTGGGCCGGTCAAGGGGGGGGGGAGGGGAAGGGGGGGCGCAGGCTGACCCCATTTAGTCCACCGAACGCCTTGCCTTGGTGAAAGCAAACATGTCGCCCAGTTCGATTCAGCGAGCGCGTGGCATCCCAACGGTCGGTGAGTGTCTCTCAGTGTAGTGCTCCACCATCCCGTATCCCCCGCAGTGTTTATCTCGCGATCGCCGCTCACGGCTTCGAGTTTTCCCGCCGTTTTCCCGCGCACACTTTTCGCGTTCGTTCGCCGCTCCCGCCGCGTGGGTTATTTCTGTGTGAAATTTGTTTCCAAAGGTAATTATCGCATCCACGTACCTTTTTTTGTTTCCTGTTCTGTTTCCCGGAGGAAAAAATTGTGTGTTGTGTGTGTACCGTTTCGTGTGTTTCGACGGCCGGAAAGATTTCCTGCAAGTCGGCGGTGGGATAAAGTCATTTCACCGATCATTGTTTGTGTTTCGCGAAATTTGGTCGGCGTCAGTGCCGTGCGGCGAATTTTCAGTCCTGCGCTCCTGCCCTGCAACGCTCCTCTCTCGGAAGCCAAGTTTTTATTTTACTCATTATTATTATCATTCATATTTTCATCAGGGATAGCGAAGCTTATTTTTCTTCCAATTCTTTTCTTAAGAGCTTGGAAAAAGTTTTCTGATCATGATCATTTAAAAAGTAATTTCCGGATTTTGCGTGTTATTTAAATTAATTCTAGTTTCTATGAAAAGTAAAAGTTGCGTTGCTTTTTCTCAACTCACCACAAATAAATTTTTCACCTACTTGTTCGTGAAACTCTACGTTAAAAAAACCCAAGCGCAATGAGAACTATTGAGTTGTTCCACCTGACAACGCTGAGATACAGACTCAGAAATTATGTCGGAATGGATGTCTTTGAGATACATTTTTATCATGTCTGAAATTCTGAATCATAACGGCTTATCCGTATTTTTTTCAAGTCTAGTGGGGAATGTTTAAATTTTTTATTACGCTGTTCTATATCGCTGGAATTCTAATCATCCAATGGCATTTGATACAGTTTTCGAACTGTAAGGAAGTAAAATTCTGCATTACAAGTCGACTTTTTCCAGTACACTTTGGGTAGTATACTTTACTAAGAGGACCCTCGAAAATAGGTAAAACTCTTCAGAAATGTAGGCTCGCACTATCAGTTTTTAAAGTAACGTGCACATTTTGTCGATTGCGTAGACAGGTCCAATGAGTATGTCTTGAACATAGGAATACATAAAAAATAACAAAGAAATAATATAGATGGACCAGAGTCATCTAAATTGGCTTACTCAGTTTGAATTAAAATCCTCTCTCTTGAGGCTTAAATCGATCATATTATGGATACTACCTTAAAAGTACTATTACCGCCTGCTTTTACTATCCAATTAATAGATCTATTATCTTTGAAGGAGATCCCTCATTTGATAAAATAAAAACTAACCGCCTTTATTTTACCGTCCTCTCCGACATGGTATAGGTGAATTATGATCTGAACCAAAAGTAAAAGTAATTAGAGTATCTGATTAATCTCCACTTGCTTACATGGTATTGACATTTTATACTGCATACTTGCAGAATTTGATCACACCAACTAATCAGTGAAAAGCTACATTGCTGTGAGGATTTTTTTAACTCGAATCAAACATACCAAAAAGAAATGACTTTCATCTGTAATAAATAATGTATTTAATGTAGGGACAAATATTCCATAGCCTATTATAGCTGTTACGAAATCAAGACCAAAAATTGTAACCTAATCTCTCTTCCAAAAACTGCGATTATTCAAATCACGAATCAGAATCATTGGTTCCCCCAACTTTAGTTTTCCCAAATAAGCTTTAAAAAAAGAAAAGTATCAGAATAAATGGCTCAATATAACTCTTGTGCAAAGACATGTCTTTAAATATTTTCAGAATCGATTAATGGATGGTATGAAAGTAACATTCATTTTGTCATTATCCTATCTTTTTTGTGCGGAGACATTTTAACCAATCAGACAAACGCTCTTATGAAACACTAGACTACATTAGGAATCAAATTCACGGTTCTTTTTAAGGTTATTTTAGCACCACATGACGACAATGTGCGTGCATATGTTTGTTGTTCGAAGCTTTCAAGCTCGCGAGAATGTTTGAAAAGTGGTGTGGTGCATTAGCAAGGCGTGAATGATCGATTATCGATATTTCCCCATTTAAAGCTATGGTAAAGAATCGATGATTTAGGTGTTCGTTGCGAATATCCTGTATATCGATCCTTTTCCATAGGTTTAAACGGCACATCAATTGATGTATCGCAAAGCACGCCACGCCGCTGGTGCGGTGTGTGGCTTGGTGACTTGCGGAGCGCGTGGAACGGAAACAAGTTGGCGGCTAAACTTGAACTAGACCTGGCAAGCGCCTGGGTTACCGCCCAGTAATGTAGAAATACAAAATTCTTGGACAAAGTCTGGACGATAATGACATCACAATCGAACTTTACCAAACGAAATGTCTACGATTGAAAGTACTAATCGCGTATAAAAGTCTACGATCAGATAATGATCAGCGAGTGTCTAAGGTACCGTGCACTTAGATTTGAGTATCAGTTAAAAAAATGTCCTCGATGTATTTCGACATTTCGGTATCAATTTGAGGAGAGAATGGTACACGCAGTTAATATAACAAGTCTTACAAACAAATTTTATGAGATATTTTATGCTGAAAATTCAATGCAGCTTTTTCCAAACCAATTTTTTCATGATCTGTTGATGGTGGATTCTTGAAACGTAACAAGTTTATAAATAATTAGTTTTCGACCAATACTTAGTGTCAGTTTACATTACCTTGTAGCCACTGACCAATATCCAATTGTATACTGACATTGCGTTTTCTTATCATGGCTATCAAAATTACTAATTATCTCATCGGAGAAGCCATAAGCTCGAAGCGACACCTATTTTGTACTCTCAAGTTGAGCGATAAAGACACACCGTTAGAGGGTTGTTTTCATCATGCTCGTAAAAATTTCGTACATTTTTGGCATGATATCATTTGAAGAGCTCAGTCTATGGCCTTAAGTAACATTATTGTGATTTTAAGAAACACAAGTTTGATGATAAAAAATATTTGTGACCCTATGCCCTGAAAAAAACTAAATCTGATGATGCGATAAGGAAGTAAAAACAGAGTTCGACTTTCAATTTCCTTTGCGTAACACCTTGTGTCTAGCTCTGATTAAAATGAGCAATCAATTTATTTAACTTTTCAAAAAATATAACTTGACGTGATCAGGTCTGGAACTCCTCGTTTCTGATTGCCACTGATATCAGGGTCCCCCTTAAAAACTTGTAACTTTTGAGTTGATTTCTAAAAGAATTGTTCTTTCCAAAAAAATGAATTAGTAATGATCAGATTCAATGTTTCACAAATGAGGAGAACATAAACTCTGCTGATAATTTATTTCTTGAATTTAAACATGCCCTCAACGAGTAACTTTTGTGGGTGCTAAGACCGTATCTAGCCAATCACATAAAGATCTTGTGAAAAATGTGAGTTTGAGTATGATGTTCGAGAATCACATTAGGGTATTTTTTGTGAGCATCCATCATTAGGGTTGATTATCAAAAGCTTGTTGTGGCTTCGTGGTTACTCAATTTTATTCCAGGTTAAAGTGTTCTCTGTAAAGTTTTACTTGTAATTATGCCTGTAGTTCACAGATTCATTCTAAGGGAAGGATTGCTCACATCCCTTTCATTATTTTAATTTTAAACATCTAGTCGTACGCGTTGATAAATCTTGTCTTTTACACGCTAAATAATTTAAATTTATATCAGAAATGCTTCTCGCAAAAAAACTTTCGTGAGGTCTTGGGTTACAGCATTATTGATTAAAATAAGTCAGATCATGCTGATTTTGAATCTACATTGATTTTCCCTCTGAACGCAATCGAAAACTGAGTTTTGGAGTAAAAATTAAGATGGTTTTGTGTATTCCTTTTACGTCAATTTTTATCTCAGTATCTACTTGCGCACAATTTTTACTCATATTTATTTTTAGAAACTGAGACATTGAATCGAGTCTTACTCCAACTTACCATAACTGATGATACATTCTTTCCGCAAAACTACTTTCTCTGATGACGTCTTTGCTGACTTGTCATCCGAATTATCAAAAACGATTGATGGGCTGCATTACAGAAAAAAAACACGAGCCAATTTTGAAGGGAAAAAAATTTATCAGCCGTGTCGGCGGCTTTGAGCTCATTTGTTCGGATACTTTCACTTGATAAATTCACACGGGACAAACATATCCTTGATATACAAAAAATGCAAGGAGCATTTCAAAAATTCTTCTGCGACATGAAATTAATCCTAATAGGGTGATTAAAAAATTTAGCATTTTCCCCCTTTTTTTTCAAAAAAATTCTCATAAAACTTAAACTTTTATAAACACTAGAACACTATTTCTTAAAATCACGCAATTGATTCTTTAAAATATTTTCATTATTCTCCTTTAATTAATACCTCCTTTTGTTAGGATATTGCCTGTTCATTTCACTCATGAAAGTGCTCTTGTGGAACTAAAGTATGATTTTTTCAACGCTTCTCAAAACATTTATGGTACTGCTTTTGCTAAATAAATCGGAAGGTGTTAGGCCCAAATTTTATGTTTACACCTCCGTGTTAACTCCATGAACAATACGCAATGCACAAGATCACAAATATGCGATTTAGATAAGAATTTTCTTTCCAACTCCTTCATTTGTAAGTTCCATAAAAAAATATATTAGAGACTTTACACTTAAAAAGTAGTCGGAATTTTATCAATGGCGCGAATGAAACTTTTCTACGGCGCATATTCAAATCACCCTATCGGCTTCTTATGGTATACAAGCGCTAATTTTAGGAGCTAGCACTAGTATTTAACTAATGACTTCTGATAATTGACGTATTGGGTCATGTGTTTGAAGAGTAACGCCCCGTCAGGCCAAATTACTGGGCGGATCGCTGAAAATCACATTCATCAGTCTCACTGTTCTGCTACACCCGTTAAAAAGTTTAACACCCAAAAATAACTGAGTCACTCGGTTAAAAAACGACCTAGCTCTAAGGGAAACAAAAGGAGGGGGGGGGGAGCTGATCAGACTCGTCGATTTATCAAAGCTTTGAATATGCGTTTAGTGCATGCCGTTAAGCTATCATAGAGAGATTATAATAAGCATAGGTACCAAAGTTTCCGGGGTTTTTTTGTCTTAAAGATGTAAGCGATTGGAAACTTCGGAGATGGGTTGTTATTGAGTTACAAGAAATTTTTTAACGTTACCCTTAGAAGAGGCCATAAAAAGCATTTATAAACAATGGAAGTAAAATTTGTCCCTGAGAACCATTTTGCCGCAGTTAATCTAATCGATGAAGTTGAATCGTTTCTTGCTGAACAACTAAAAAATAATTCAATGGTTGAGGGTAGCAAACTGCGTAACTCGGTTTACGACGTCGATAATTTCCAGTCACATTTAACCTCACCAAAGAAGGCTTGGAGGCAGTTTTGGCACAAAATTCGATTAATTCTCCTTAATTGTTTCAATGATTCCTCCTAAAAATTTTGAGCAAAAAAAAGCAGAGATATTTTCTTTAAAAAATAAAATGTCAGCGAGAATTTCTGAAAAAGAGGTTCGGCAGCTGCACCGTCAATTTACTTCAATTTTCCACTTAGCTTCGATAGGTAAGGTAGGGTCGAAATCTTTCGTATCAATGTCTAATCACGTAATCCGAGAAGTCATAATCCAAAGATTATACGGATCGGCTCCACTGCGAGGTATAGCGGTGGATCTGAGCGCGAGCCGTGACTCGATAGGTTGTGTGATCGGGTCTTAACTCTGCCGTGCTACGGAGAAACATCGTATGAACATTCAGACGATATCAAATCTCTATCAATAAAATAATAATTTCTTGGATCATTTTAACAGCTCTCAATTTGAATTTATCAGTGAATTGTATTCCAAATTTAATCCAAAGTATCCGAAAATTTGAAAGAATTTTATCCGTGACTTTTTTAGAAAATAATTCCGTCGTCATAAGTACCATGGGCAACGTCAGGCTGCACTGCCGTGCCAAGGAAGAACGCCGTATGAGCATTCGAGAGTTGCCAGTTTCCCCGGATGAAACATGTATTTTTGAGAAAAGTTACGCACATTTTTCTTTGAACACTGAACAAAAAGATTGGTAGAATTTACCATTCCTTCACGCTGTCACACAGCGTGAAGGAACGGTAAATTCTTCCAATCTTCAAGTCGACTCTGCCAGAGGAGTGGTTGCCTGTACCAGTATATAGTAACTTTACCTTGTATCGGGCAGAATTGACTATAAATGAACGCTGTGTGAAATACAACGTGAAAGATTGGTAAATTCTACTAATCTTTTTTTTCCCTTTTCAGTGAAATTTTCAGATATTTGTGATCAAATTGCGATCAAAATTGGCTGAGAATTTTAGAAAATAATTCCCACTATGTTTTTAGTAATTTCGGTTTTTACTGGAGGAAACTTGACAACGTCTGAGGGCTCATACGGCATTCTCCCTAAGTACGGCAGTGGTAGTTACGGCGTTTTTCCCGAGGACGGGAGAGTTGAACTAAAGCGGCGCGCACATGCGTAAATTTAATCAAGCCCGGCGAGGCTGCCATCCGGCCATCAGGTGTCCTTCGCCCTCCTCTGCGGCTCCGCGGGCCCGTTCGAAAACCCACTTGCTTAACGGGATCCGTAAGCCATGCCCTGCGCCCGCCGAACGAGACCCCGGGCTAGACGCCTTTATCAGTTCAAGTTCATGGATTAAGCTCCCGCAATCCGTCTCCGGCCCGGCCTCTCACGCGTGCGTACGTCGATTAGCCTAGAGTACCCGCACAGGGTGTTCCGAAAGTCCCACTCCCTTAAAAAAAGTTGGGAGCCCCCCGCCCCCCCCCCCGTCAGGGAGGGGCTAAAATGTTGACCCCCCTAGAAGATAAACACGGGAAAAACACACGAGGTTGTTGGATGATATGGATATTTCCAATTAATTGTGGTAGTACTCCAATTAATGATGGTAGCACCCCAATTAATTATGGTAATACCCCATTAACGTAGGTAACTAACCCAAATGTTGCGGGACTACCCTAACTTGGATTGCGGTACTACCACAATTAATTAGAAATGTTTATATCATCCAACAAATTGGGGTAGTACCACAATTTTAGAGGATAACTCCTGAGACTTTTTCTTCCCGTGAACATAGACCTCTGGATGGCCAAAAACCTGGAATATGTGCGGATATAAAATAGGATATCCTCCTCCCAAAGGCCAAAGGATCATAAAAAGACCTATTAAAAGCACGATCCATTAATAATATAGTGATAGCTCTTGTAAGTACAGCTATGGTCTTTTGAGATAGAAATATTCCCAAAGGTTCGTTTTTTTAGCGCGAACGGTTCAAAAGTTAGCGGGGTAGCGGGAATTTTGGAACACCCTGTATAAAGAGAGTATCGCTATATCTGCGCCACTCTCTGGGCCGTCAGTTTCAGGTTTTTTATTGGGATTTAGAGGATCAATGTAAACAAATCCGATTAAGAGGTTTTTGTGGTATCAAGAAAGAAATTTAAACTGTAACTTTGAGGTAAAAGTGTGCTCGAATGAGCTTTTTCCCTCTGAACTGAAATTTCCAGCTTAACTGACTCTTACGCACGTTGGCCAAAATTTACCAACTTTCTGCCTGAAGAAAGAAATTTATAGAAGCTTTCAAACGACCAAAGTAGAGTGTCAAAGTGGTGGCATTGGTGAAGATGTTCAACTCTGAACGCAACTTTCACCTAAATAGCGCATTTTCCATCATCCAGGGACATTTTTCTGCGCAATTTTCCTGATGAAACTTAAAATGAACAATATCGGACCGTTCGGCACCGACCACTTTCATTCTCCACTTTGATTGTGTTGAAGGCGCTGGAGACCCTCATAAAGTGAAAAGTGCATATCCCTGAAAAAGTATCCATTAAGTTATGAGTATGCATGAGCTATTGAATGCATCAATTTAAGGCAAGTGTAGACATTTCAGAGTATTTGACATTTGTCTGATAAGTTCATCATAGTTTTAAGCCATGAGCTCTTAAAAAGCTCTGCTAAAATGATAAGTTCTTCCCATTTTTCTCGAGTTGTGTCACAAAACTATCGTCAAAACTCAGAAGGTACGATGAGATCCCCAAAAACTGGGGGAGAAGGCCGTGATCAAACTGAGAATAATTTTAGAGAAAATTTACAGGAAAAATGTTTTCTTTTGACCTACTGAACACACTTCTGTAGGCCGACGAGCTTACTTCGTGATACTCTTAATTCACTAGGTATTGTATTGTACAAATGACGGATGTAAAACAACTTACAATGAATCATTAGATTGCTTATACTTACTGCAGAGAGCAGGCTCCAATCGTCTCAAAACATGTATTGCATGTGCTGAGTTAAAACATTGAAATTTACCGGTTATTCTATCTTTGGTTTTATTCATATTTCTTAATTTGCTTTTCCACTTCAATTCCTATTTCTAATCCACATTTTGTTTTTGTATGTTTCCTAGGCATTTGACTCAGGAGTAATAGACGTGTATGCATCGACAAAGTTATTTCTGACGAGGTAAATAAAACTTTCCTTAGAAATTTAAGGGTGAAAATTCAAAACCTAATAAGTGCCATTGGCTGTTGTTAAGATACTGCTTGGTGTTATTCATTACTAAGAAACCTAAATACCGCCGTTTTCTGGGCTTTAAGATTTTCCTAAATTTTGGTCATATTTCCTTTAAAAAAAGTTGTTATTCTGAAGCAGCTAAATTTTTGTTAAAGGAGAAGGGCATTGCACAATCTCAGTAACATGCAGGAGTGCTTACCAGGTTTTCAATTTTCACTCTTAATTTATCCATTTTTATTTTTAAAAAAAGTGATTTATTACGGTATATCTCTACGGTATATCGATTTATCTTATCAACAATGAAAATATTGTCACGGGAATATTGTCATTTGTATTCTTGAAATATTTTCCAGAAACAATTTAAGAGTTCTTCCCATTGAACGGTTTCACTGCAATTAATTTAATTTTTTTTCAAACGAAAATTTTCATCAGTTGTATACTATATAAAAACAATTGAATTAGTTTAGAAAATTTTCAAAATGCACTTAGCAGAGTTGTAATTCTCACCGTATCTGATTCGTCGTTTCCCTTACGAAGAGACGTAACTCCATTCCAAGGTTGCAAAATTGACTCAAATAAATACATTTTTTACAATAATGTTCCTGCACAATTTTTGTCCAACTTTTTTGTGACATTCGCATGAGATCAGAAGAAAAATCAGTGAAATTTTCAGCCGTAAATTCCCAAGATCCTACCGATGAAAATGCACTTTATTAAGAGAAACTTGGCAATATTGAAATTTAGTTACGTTTTTTCGTCCAGAAAACGACAAATTGTTCGATTTTTTCAAATGTGGCGTAGTACTCCAGCGAGAGAATAATATCCTAAAAGCTGCACACGATAGTGAAATTGCTTCAAATGATAGCTGGACGATTTTGAACGATGAAATATGAGGAGTTATGACCGATGAATCCAATTATCAATGAGCTGAAACAATGGACCAAGTGATTAGCCTTACGTATCAAATTCAGCGGCAAGTTTAACCACTTGAATTAGGTAATTTAAGGGAAAGTGAATTCGATGGCGATAATAGCATATACAGTTACGTTTTCAGAGTAGAAAGTTATGAAGGCGTAAGGATGGTTATTAGATAGATTCGAGGAAAACACGGTGTCAGTGTTTTGATGCGGGCTGAGCCATGCCATGCGGTCGGCGCAGGCGCAAAACGCCGCGGTGAATTTTCTCCGCACCTCGTGTGGCGTGTGGCATCTGATGTGTTTTAGAGATCCAAAACGAGACACGCGCTCAGCCTGGCCACCTAATCTATCCAGACAGAATCGATGATTCGGTCTGTTACAAGAAGAGCAAAAAATCCTTAAGACCTTGCCGTGTAGCCATTTGGTGCCTTGTTCGTGGCCATTTCTTAAATGGACTGCATTTGGCAATAGGGAACTACAATATTCAACTCATTTCACAAACAACGTATGTATCATGAGATTTCGTCTGCGGATAAGTGATTTTGTAGGTTAGCCAAAATTAGTAGTTACTAGTTGCAAAATTTAGTCCAAATAAGATCCTTTCCTGTTGAGGAAACACACACTGTTTACATCATATTAGGTCCCCCGCACTGTTTACATCATATTAGGTGCCATATGGACCACATTTTGCGCCATGGAACTACTAGTACTAGCTCATATTAAGAAACAACGTATGCTTCGTTACTTTCCCGGTGCAGATAGGTGCTTTTACAGATAAGCCAGGAATAATAGTTCTTTAAAGCAATATGTAGCCCATTTAGAGTACCCATCGCTAAAGTTGAGAGAAACGTATCTTAATCGCAGTTTCGATTAAAATTTTCCATTTTGTGTTCTTTTAACATTTTCTTTCATGCAAATTGTATCTCTTACTATTTAAATATGTCAAACCAAAACAGCTCCCAGGAAATATCTGTGAAGATTTTTAGACGAGTGAAGAAAATGGGAAGAAAATTTCAAGAAAAACAATTTGCAAGTTAGTTTCCTTTAAAATTAATAAAAAACTTAACATGACTAGAACGGTGTCGATTGCAATGCCGCAACAAGTATGCGCTTTTCGATTTAGATATATACCACTACATTTATTTTACCCAACTGCAGGATATGAAATTTGCGAATTAATCTCGAAACATAAATTTTCCTTTACTTTATTAAGATTGAATATTTGACATGGAAGGAATGTAAAGCATCAAATTTTACATTTAGTCCACTGTCCGTTACTTCAATTAATTTTAATCGGTACCCCTAAATAACGTGTAACATGAAAGGTTCATCAAAAATGTTTTCTGCTCCAAGAGAATGCTGAGGCTTGTTAGCTCCGTGATTCATCTCGACGTCTGTCAAAATGCAAATTTTGAACTCTCTCGGTGAGTTCAGTTATTTTCTGACGTCAATGTACTCATCTCATTGTAGTGACACGTTGGCACGTCGAAATTGCACTTGCTTACCCGCCGTTGCAAAATTGGACGTCTCGAAATTTCGATCACTAATTGAGACCTACGATTTCGGACTTTCAGTTTTCCAGGTTGTAAATCGCATGAGATAGTAATTTGTATCATAAAATATTCTCGTAACTTTCAAACGTACTTTTACACTTTCTGAAAGTCCCACTCCGACTGTAATCTTCAGTCCCTCTAGGAAAAAACAAGTCGACGGTGAAACGCCAAAACAACGTATCTGGTTCGCCATGTTGCATCCTTTCTGTCATCTTTTAAATTGAGAACTCCTCAACATCAATTCTTTAAAACCTCCATGATTTTTCCTCTCTGTTTGAAGGAAATTCTATGAAAACTGCAAGGAATAATGTTGATTCGTTCTCCTTTAAAATAATAGAAAAGGAGCTGAGATTTTGAAACACGGCGAACGAGATACGTGATTTGGGAGCTTTAACTTCGATATTCACCTTATTTGTGATTAGAGATGAAGTGTAAATTGTTCAGATCGAAGGACTTGACTTTCGAATAAAATTAGAATTGCTCATTTTTCACTCGATTCATTACATTTTAACCATCGTGTTCTATAAAAGAAAGTTCCCAATTTGAATAAAGTTTAAAGTTTGAATTCTTGAAAAAAAAATAGAAATATATCTCCGAGAGTGTGCACAAATAATATAAAAAAAACACTTATAGACATACGATAAAAATCTGAATATTTGAATTGAGTGTATGTTTCACCAATACAGCTTTTGGTCAAAAGTGATAAGAGGGCCATTAAGTTCAGTAACACACTTAAAATTTACAATAATCATTCGTATCAATGCTGTATTTTGCATTTTAAGTGCATCTGGAAAATATAATTTTCCACTCCGAAAAACTCTCCTGGCTATTAATATGTTCGAAAAACTCTCCTGGCTATTAATATGTTCGAAAAACTCTCCTGGCTATTAATATGTTCGGTAACAAAATGAAAAAAAAATTGTGTTTTTAAATTTTTAATCAGGTAATTGTTTGTTTTGCGCGTCGATTTTTTAAATCTTTTCAATTCCAAACCGCACTTTGCTCATTCAAAACAGGCTCGTGATATATTCACTTGCATGCACTAAAATCATGTCTGGTGATTCATCCAAGGACGTATTTTTTCAGCGATTCGCTCTAGTAATTTCCGAGGATTTTCCTGCGACTATTTTACTATACGCCCTTATCTACAAGTAAAAGCGTTCTCTAATCACGCAGCAAATTCCCGGAAGAAAGTAGAAGTGGTGGCAACAGTGTTTCTTTGTCTCTTCCATTTATGAGTGCTATACGTTTTCAAGAGGGCGAGGGTCGAAGCAAGCCACAGTCGAGAACGACGCACGCATAACTATGAAGATAAGTATTGAATAATTAGGGAGAGAAAATAGGTTAGTGAGGACTCTAGTGTCGGTACAATGTACTCTTATCGTTAATATGCGAACTTTTTGTGTGCTGCCTCGTGAAAACGAAAAGAGAGAGAGGGAGACACCCCGCCAACAGCGCCGATCGCCCGTTGACGGGTCGGCTACAATATGGGGCATTGATTACAAGCCTACACGTTTAGCACTCTTCCTTTTTCGAGGTAGCAGGCGCGGCAAGTACTTCTATTTTGCAGATTCGGCCTATACACGACCTGTGAATTCAAGTACCTTAAGTATACAATGGAATACTGTTTGCCACAGATCGTATTCGATAGTAGTTCGATGTATCGTTTGGTTCAAAACAATCGAACATAACCTCAAACAAAAATTCTATGATGCAAGTAGGAAAGCTGGAAATGAGAAAATTCCTAACAATTTCACTTTCCAGTGCCATTAAATAATCATAAGAATCAAAAATCTATTACAAGAAACCCGTTTCTCAGATTCCTCGATTGACTTTTGAGGCTACGTGTACATGTTGAACCAATTGGACCACATTTTGCAATAAGGAACCACTATTTCTGGCTCATTTTAGAAACAACATATATGCTAATAGTTTCCCTACGCAGATAGGCGCTTTTACAGAAGAGCCAGAGATAGTGGTTCCTTGTTGCAAAATGTAATTAAATTGATATCGATACAATCTTACCTGTTTGGTCACCAAACTTTGGTGTATCGAATATGAGGCGTCAAGTTATGTTTCGGTGATGTTCCCAATTTTTTCTTTCTTTTTTTTTCAAATTTGTTAATTTTGTTACATACAAATTGACCTACTCTGATCTTTGTTAGCAACATTTTTGACAAATTCGTAACAATTTCATACTTTTTAAAGTTCCATTTTTATATTTGCAAAGGAATATAATCGGAATGAACTAAAAAATTGTTGACTCATTAAAAGAAAGAAAAAAGAAGATACAACCGTTGCAGTCGAGAGAATTGTAATGGAATGTAGCAGGTTGCAATCTACGTGAGAGAAAGCTCCCTAGAATTCTCCGGATCTATGTCCAAGCGAAAAGTGGCCAGATCAAGAAAGCTTCCTATCCTGTGCTCATTTTCTACGTTCTGATCATTGAAGTTTTCACCTCCTATTGCACCCTAATCTC